TAACCAATGTTGCTATCTCAATTCATTTTTCCCGTTTCCAAATGATATTTAACATTGAGGAATTCAGACTCAACTAGATTACTACTAACCCGAAGTTTAGGGTAATTAAAGATGAGAAAGACACAAAAATATTTAAAATTCGAATATGCCATATTAAAGGTGGGGATAATTTTTGAGACAACTCGAGATCGCAGTGAGAAGAGCATGCCCTTAAACTTCTGTCATCTAATTGTCTAATCATAATTATTTGTTAGTTGGCAAATTTTTAACCTTGTGGGACACATTATCTCTGTGTGCGTCATCGTATCCCTGCATGTCTGCTCGCCAGGATTGGGAGATGCGGCCGTACAACAAACAGTGACCAATCAACCTCTGTTAACCTAATCCCCATCCTGACCATGAGTAGCTCCCTGCGTGTACACACTGTATCCGCAATACCCGTACTGAATAAACGTGCTCCTTGGTACGCGTCTGTTTCCTTTATGGCTGGGCTATAGCTTAGCTAGTTTCGGGAGTCTAGCTAGTTGTAAGAGAACCTGTCACAGAGATTTCTGAGTCAGTCAGGCTTTGTTAGTGTAGCAATCCGCTACAACCTTTGAGATGTAATCTAGTCCCTATTCAATAACAAGTATACGCTTAAAAAAGCCTAAGTGCTTAGTGAAGGTATTATACCGATATTTTTAATGCTTTTTGCATCCATGTTTCACGATTTTCATGAAAAAAATCTGTGTTAATTTATTAAAAATATGCAGTCATTCTTTACATAAGGTACAAAAATTGCATTTGTCAATTCAATAGCAATTTTTAGAAATTATAAATAAGTTTCAGTGAGTGGTAATACAAGTGGGGAAGCTTGTAGAAAATGTTGAGGTAAATTGTCGATTTCTAAAACGAGAGATATCAACAACCTCCTCTTTACTTTGCCAAATAAAAACGTGAAATGCAGTAGTCTTCACGTTATTTCTATGGCTTAATTGTTGTTTAAAAGAAATACAAAAAAATATGTGAATATATAAACACCGTTGAAATTGATCTTGTTCACTGAGATGAAGAGGGGCTGTTTTCGAGGCTATTATCTAAAAGGGGAACGAAGAAATCATTGGAAATATGCATCGAAAGTTGGACTTTGATAATTATATATATTTATTTGGTTATATGAAATCATGAAAATTATTAATAATACAAATTAAATCTACTCCTTGGCTCGTCAGTTATCAATACACCCTATTAACATCTGACTACCTCGAAACTCAATTAACATATTACCAATAAACGGCAAAATTCCAAGTTTTTACCAATTATTGGAATAGTTTCCAGTAATCTTCATTCGTACCTCGTCATTCCTTGATAATGGAAATTGAAAATGAAGATGATGTGTAAATGACGGAAGTTCTTAGTTTATGATGACTTTCACTTCTCCACGCCTACTGCCCACAGTCAAGTTCTGCAGGAAGCTTCTCTCAGAATTTATTTTCTTATAAGAAACGTTAAAATCTAGCTCACCCTCTGCTACCCTTTTTAAGTTACTTTTCATTTAAGTAATATTCTTACTCAGTGTATGACTTATGCTTTATGCCCCTATAACTGAGGTCCCTAGTATTTAACCTATAACAATGATATGGCCCATCTCTCATTTTAATCTCCTGATCAATCAACCTCAATCATTGCAGATATTAAGAGTACGGCAAGAGGGATTAGTTCTGAAGGGCTAGCTTTGAAAGGTCAAGTCCAACCACAACGAATTTTGAAGAAAACAACTAATTGAGAAGGGCATCAGATGAAACTATGATCGCTTATGACCCAAGCTCTAGTCCTCTCGTCCAATTAAACATCTCATACTCTACCCCAAGGCATGATTTTTTATCAGGGAATGCAATAATAGCACCAATTATAATAAGGGAGTGGTTTGATTGATTTGCCGAAATTAGACCTACCACAAGGATTCACATTACTGGCTAAACACTCGGATTGATTCGATTGACAAAATTGCGCCAAGCTAAGCGTTTGTACTCTTCTCGGTGACGTTTCACACCACTCAATTCGATCTGGTAGTCCCACCAGGAATCCGAACTAATTCTCCATAAAATATCCGGAAGAAGGGTGAGCACCAGGACCAGAGGAAGGCACAACCAAAATGTTGGGCAAGATCCCAGGTAAATAAAGTTCATGTACACATGTGTGCCTGTTCCTCCTAGCGTCTAAAAGGGTTGAGAGGGGGGAATTCATTATCATTAAAAATATGCAAACAAATATGCAGGTCAATAACGTAGGTGAAATGGATTTTACTACAAGGTGAAACTTTAATTTGTTTGCAATTTACTCCAATTACAAGTCGTTCACCATCAAGAAAGCTTCAATTAGAGAATCAAAATCACTCTAACCTATTAACCCCATTGGCTTGATTAAGAACTAGGCTAATCCACCAATCGACACGAGAGAAAGTTGATCAATAGTTGAATATGAGACATACTCAGCCAAATCCCCTTTCTGTGGGAGAAGGTAGTGGTCATTAGGATGTCCCATAATAAAATATTTAGAGCCCACTTATTGCGCATTAATTTGCTAATTCATTTTTAGAACGCCTAATGGTTGGAAGACTCCGGGTATGACTTTCCTATCTCTACATTTTGTGTGCGGAAATTGCAAAATATGCTAGATATATACAATTTATCAAATGAATACTAACCAGTAAAATCCGATAGAGAAGAGAACTTAATTGACATCTATTACTCATCAATAAGAGCAAACGTAATTTCGGAATGGAAAGTAAAAACTTCTCTCTATCTACTTCAAAAATTTTGAACCTTATGACTTTAGTAACTTAGACTCCAAATGCGATAAAACGAATATTAACACACACACACACACACACACACACGCACACACCTTTTGGCAATCAAAAGCAATGATTTATAGTGCTATTCTCTAAATTGGAAAGTGTGATAAGCAATGACCAGTACTCTGGCTGCATGATTTTGACAACATGATTCAAAGCCGTGAGATATCCTCTCAATTCGGTGGATCTTACACTTTCCAAAAGTGTAGCATGCAGAAAGATCGCCTATCACCAGGATAGAAAGAAGTTCCCAGTGAAAGGTAAGTTCAATTGTGCTAAGAAGTTGTTTGAATGAAGCGGGAAGTGCTCCCTCTCTCCCTTATTTGTTCAAAAGTTTCCAAGGGGACAAAAGACCGACGCAATTATTGCTTGAGAGTGAATGGTAAATGTGAGTCATATTAGGCCTCAGAATTTATTCCAACGTGATCTTTCAAGATATGAAAAAGTGAATGTGAATTTGAAATGGGACCACAATTAGTAGACTTCAGTCGCATGCTGCACACGTGCGAACTTTAAAGAAGAGTTCATTAATTTAAATTCCCATTTCGCATGAAAAGCGTGAATACAAACTAAACTAAACAGTATTATTATTAAAAGTAAAGTGAGATGCATAGAAAGAGTACACCATGTTTGCCACTTCTAGTAGTGATCAACTTGTCCGAACTCAGAAATTTCTTCTTATTTTCACGCTAAATCTGTCCCTCCCCCCTTCCTCCACCTCATCTCCAACACCTTAGTATTATAATTGTTTAAATCACACCATATAACTTATTTCCGCCTCCAAATATGAACAGCAATTTCAAACAACTCAAGGACGCCTCAATTCTTGAATAAATATCAACTTCTTTTTTTTCAACTTGCGTATTTAGAAGACTCAAAAGTGCTCCAAATTGGCTCTTAATTATTTCATTAAAATTTTTTATTGGTGGTATTGCAGAGTTCTTTTTCGGGCAAAACTTTTGTAGAAAAATGAAATAGGTTGGGATTACTCAAAGCTTTCAACTGTTCCAAATAAACGCAGTCTATTTAACTTACCTGATAGATAAACATGACACCCAAATTCATAAATCCCGTAATGATGATTCCCAATATTATGAATAAATTAAGGGTCCTTGACATTACAACGATTCGCATTGTTCCCGTAACCACCAGGTAGATGAAACAGGCATTCCCAAACATATCGTAATCAATGGTGGCGAGGGAGGTTCCCGGGAGAGAGAAGCTCGCATCAGAATATTGCATACCCCCTGCCATAGCGAAGAAGCAGATGTAATAGATCACTGTTCCGTGCCACCAACCATCTAACACCCATAGGAGTATATACCAAGCGCGAAGATTCGAAGATTGACTCATCTAGAATGTCCACAACCAATAAAGGCAATATAATAAAAGTGTTGTGTATATAAAGTGATTAAGTGATTATGTATTGCGACAAACCAAACGGTATAGGTATGGTCTATGAAGGAGATCATTGGCTGAAATATGTTTCTCAAAGAGTCCGAACACGAAGGGGGCGTATGATGTGAAAGTCAGATTATAGAGGGTGTAGAGTAGACTGTCAAACATTGATTGGCCAGAAAACCCATCGTAGAACATATGATAAATTTGAAGCGCTACGAAAGCCACATTCTTGAAGTAGAAGATATTTGCAGTCATGCTAATACGATAGTAATTCCAATGACCGTGAAGCAAAATTAATCTTCGAAGATGTCTGTAAAAGTAAACAATAATGCAGGTTTATTTTATTTCTAAAAAAAGCTTATACTATATTCAACTATGTAGACACAAATTCGTACCACTAGTTTGCTTAGATAATTAGTGATCCAATCCTTATTCGTTGTAACATTTTAAAGAAAACTTCTTTTATAAGGAAAATGCTATACAAGCGGTTGGCTTTTTGTTGGATCTTATCGAATAATAGAGTTGGCCTTTCAAACACTGGCTGCAATTTTTGGGTGGAGGAGTGTTCAGTAAAAATGTTTCTCCAGCATCATGATCTATATGTGGGGTGTGCGATAGACTTACCTCCACGTGGTGCACCCTGGGCAACGTATACTCATAAGGCAAAAAGTCTATTACCTGGCAGTTGACTTCTGACTTCAAGCTATCATCATGTTTGTCATATTCGACTTCTTCCACAGTACTAAGCCCTCACCTTTTTTCTACCTTTTCTACTTTCGTCTTTGAAACACCCTTCTGTCCCCCCCCCCTCTGTGAAGCCTGAAGTCAACTAAAGGGCTGATGATAACCATCAAAACGCCTACCGCTTGATATAAATAAATTATCTAGATGTCTTTGCATGGTTTGGGCACTTGCCAGGAGTGATAAGTGAGCTAAATCATTCTATTGAGTAAACCAGTGCGCTTGGCAATTAAAAGTGGTTGTTTGTTGAAATAGATGTCAGTTTCGAAATTTCTTGATTTTAGAACATTAGGACTTGACACAGTGAACCAGACTAAAAGTTGGCTTTATTCTTGGGAAGTAATTCTCTAATTCAACTATTGAAATCTTTTCCCTTTACCTTGACTAAAATGGAAAAATATCATTTTACTGGCAGTCATAATAGTACAAATGTGCACCATTATCCTAAAAAATCTCATAATTTTCAAAGTAAAACCTAATTAATATATCATTTATATAGTGCTTATTAGTTCCTCTAGCCACTCGGAAGAGTCCATATTGGTTTACTGCGTTGTACACAACTCAAAATATATATATAAATATTAATAGCCTGAACGTTGTCATTTCTCTTTTAAGAAGAGCATAGTCAATTCGACCCAACTATTTATAACAGGATTAGTTACTTGAATAGAGGAATTGCATAATCCGCAGCCCTCACCGCCTGTCTGCCCTCATTTCCAAAGATGCCGATTCCAATGCTGGCTTCATGGAGCATAGCAACGTCATTTCCACCATCTCCAACAGCAGCCGTCACTGGACGACCGCCTCCTCCAACACCGTCTAAACCTTGACTAACAAGGCGCACAACGGCGGCTTTCTGAAGGGGTGTCATTCGACAGCAAAGCACTGTGGTCACATTCATGCATAGCCAAAGGAATTCTTCACGAAGTACGGGCTGGGACAAAAAAAATGAAATTAGTATTAAATATCATGTAAATTAACTACAAATCCGCATTCTAGGCATTTCAAGAAGTATTTTTTCGATAATTAATGTGATAATCAATAAAGAAAAAGGAAGTACCTCAGCCTACTATGTGTGAATGCATTTGAATGCACTTTTCCCACGTACACACAAACCTAAATGTAAATTAAAATGTCGAAATCAGTCATAATCTTTTTGAGCATAAATTACAATTTTAAAAATAGACAAATATCGATTGACTCCCTTTCATGTGTTACTGTATGTCCCATCATGGAAATATTTTCATATTCTTTAAATAACTTTTTCTATGATCACAGTTGCCTTCCATTGATTTATAACTAACAAGTGGCAATAATTAGTATACTTTAATAATGATTTACATTGACAAGTAAGTTGCATTTCCTTTTTTAGAATAAGGTGTCTATATTTAAAATTAACAGAAAGTTACCGTTAAATACCAAATTCTAATTTTTACAGAAAGCGAATTTCAAACCCCCCCC